TAGTTGCAGCCAAACAAGCTGTAGATGGCCCAGTCATACAATTCAATTTGCTGAAGGAGGATGCTCAAATAATGGAAGATGAACTACCTAATATATTACCACCAAAGGGTATGTCAACTGAAAGGAAATGGTACCTTTACAAAAAGATAAGACCTTTTTGCAGATACGAATGTAAAGATGTAACCTGCCCACTTCCTGATGCACCTCGACTAACAGGATCATCTCGACAATCAACTCCAGGTGTAGATGATCCACCAGACCTCGCAATAGAGATCGAAGTACCACATTCTCCAAGGCAATCTCTAGAACCACCTGCAACACAAAGAAAATGTGGTAATTGTGGTCAATTTGGTCATAATAGAAGAACTTGTCCATGTAATCAGTAAATGAATAACAGAAATGAGTTTATGTAATGCACATACTATTGATCCCCTTTCAACAGGAGAGGAACTAGTTTGTCTACAACAAACAGACTATTGATCCCCTGAAACAGGAGTGGAACTAGGTTTAATGCCAAATATTCAAACTATTGATCCCCTAAGGAGAGGAACACATTTGTAACGCTAAGACATACAAACTATGGATCCCCTTTTTTAAAACAAAGGTGTGGAACTAGTATGTGCGTGAGACGTCAACATAAACACAAACACTCATTTTTGTTTAAAACTTATTAACTCAAAAGAGAAGGCCCGAGAGAAAGTTAGTCACGAAGTTATCATGCAGGTGATTTGTGTTTATTTATACAGGTGAGAGGACTGATGATAAAAATGTGTGGGAGGAGAATACCGAAATAGAAGTTATTGCGTCATTCACAGCCTATCAAAGAACACCAAGTGTCACCTGTGACCTTTAGGATATAAAATAAGACACCTGAAACTGTAAGTTCAAAATCAAAAAGTAATGGCTGCCCCAATAGAGTATGTCCTCATTGAGGTCCATCCATCTGATGGTAAGTTGGGAATGTGTAACCCTATAGTTATAACTATAATGCCTTTTGTTTTTGGTAAATGAACTTGGTAAGTTGTTGGTACATGTATGTTTGTGTTGTACATTAAAAGCAAAAAATAATTGTATTTATAGCAGAAAAAGATGAAGTAAGGGTGAAAGAGACGAAAGGAGACAGAGGAGAGAGGACAGAGGAGAAGGGGGACAGAGACAAAGAGGAGGGTGGAGATAGTCAAAAGAAGAATGATAAGATTAAAAGGTTAAACATACAACTATACATGACATTGTTTTTAATAGAATCAAACGGCTTAAGTATGTTTGTTTACATGTGTAATTGTGTTGTTGTGAAGTAGCTATGAGAAGGACTATTAAGCTAAAAAGTAATTTTGCATTCAATTTTAGTTAGTTCTATTTACAACAAATAGGCAAGAAGAAAGAAGGAAGGCCTTTAGGTAATTAAACAATAGTTGAATTACTTGTACTTTAAATTCACATTTCTTAACTAAAGACTTGGAACAGTTCAGGCCTGCTCTCCAAAGTAAACTTAATTTTAAGTGTAAATTAAAGGCTTTATGCCATTGTAATTTAGGGCAGTTGGAACTCATTGAAGAGGGCAGGAGGGAGAGGATGGGGAGTAGTGAGGAGATGGGAGAAGAAACAGAGACAGGGAAGAGACAGAGACAGGCGAGGAGACAGGGACAGGAGAAGAGACTGGGACAGGGACAGAGAGAGACAAAGAAAAAAATTTAAAGTATCAAAAGAGCATTATTGAAATGAGTAATCACTAGAATTTTTTCTTTGCTTAGAAAAAGCGAAGGCAACACAGAGGAGGGTGGGGTAAAGGCGGAAAGCGTGGAAGAGGAGGGAGGGGAGGAGGCCAAGGAGATAGATGGGGAGGCCAAGGAGGAACAGGAGGAGCCCCTCGTCCAACGGTATGGAAAGGAGCATAATGAAACATAAGAATAACAATAATCTTTTATAGGATTCATCAGCAAGTGCTAAAACTATAAATTATTTTAATGTTAAATGTAGGAACCTTAATTATAGTTCTAAATAAAATCTAAATAAAAATATTACCTGTAAATTCAAGCAGAAGCGATGTCTGGATGTAAATGACCCAGATGATGTTATTATAGTTCACAAAAAGGACTTTATTGGCACTAGAACACATAGCAATAACTCTACAACTTTTGTAATGAAATAACTTACTTTTATTTGATGTCTCAATGCATGGCTTGGCTTTAGATCACTCTTAAGATGTCCAAAAAGCAAGAAAAGTAAGTTAAAATGCTGTCAAGTGCTTCTTTCTTCTTTACCCATTTATTAATTGATTTAGGTGTGGTTTAAGTGGTGGGCGTGGTCACATTTACTACGTGAACGGGCGTGACACGGAAACATTGAAAATAACTTAAAATGCCTTTTTCTCTGTACTTGTATTCCAGAGCAATCGTCCAAACAGCGTCCCGAACTGCAAAGTTTTATTGCACATTGTCATAAATGGGATATCGCTGGAAAGGAAATTTTTTTCTCTATCTGTAAGTACCAAAAACTGATTTTACCAAAATCCCGCAGATAGCCTGGTTTTCTCATATCAGGTCACATATGGAAATGTTAATTTACTTACTAGGAACTATTAACAACAACTGACAAAAATCAGTATGAAGCTTGATACATATACATAAAACCACAGAGTCTAGGAAGTTCTTAGTTACACAATATTACATAATATTGTGCATGCATCAGCAATAATTAATGTGGTTACAGTAATGACAGAAGTAGAAACCATACACATGTACATGTACAATAAAGATAGACCTTGAAAGTTTGGAGTTGGAGAATGCATGTAAAATAAATAAAAAGGCCACACAATTAAAATACAGCTAGGTTTTCTTTGCTGCGGCTAATCCCACTTTATGTAAAAGATGTGGGTAGGATTGTGATACTTAATTATTAATTCTTCAAATTAAGTTTGGACGTCATTGCAATTGACTAAAACAAATGAAAAATTTCGATGACTCCCAGGTCACAGCCAGTGCGACATATACTGTAACAATTAAACTTCAATGAACTTAATAATTTGAGTTTAATTTACTTAGTTTAATTACAGTAAGTTATAGCCCAAGACGGTAATTATTTAATTGATGAGTGCACCCATTGATGAATCAGTTTTTAACCCCCTATTGGTAACAATTTAATATTATTATACAGTTGTGATATAAAGGCACTTTAACACTTTTCCCAATTAAAGCTCAGTGACGTACACAATCCTCATGATCATGCATTATTTTACCTTCTAAAATTTGTTTTTCCAATTCATTCTTTTGTCTCCATGAAGTAACCTTAGGTAGAGCAACAGATCTGTCTTTATTATAAAGTTTGTAGGGCCCTCTCTTTCTTCCTCATTTGATTCTTTTCGGATCCAGTCTTGAACAATTACTTTCGGCCATTTCTCTGCTACAGAAACATGTGCTTTGACTGCTTTCTTCTGTGATTATTTCTACATGTATCACGTGCACGCATGAATGATTAAGAAGGTGTGTCCTAAAGTATTAAAAATGGCGTCTGCAAGGCAATTGACCATCACCCGATCCATCTGCAGTCCCCTATCTGACACTCGTATAAGATCGCAGTGCTTTGTAACACAAGGAAAGAGGTTCAATATGGAAGATTTCGTTTGTGTATCTGATGTAGATGCTTTTTTTGCTGTTTTTGATGGTCACGGCGGAGTAGAGGCTGCTTTATTCGCTTCTAACAATCTTCTACAGACATTTAAGGAAAAATTATTTGAAATATGAAGTTGCTGACTGTGACATAAAAGGAGCTATCCATCATACTTTTCTGAAGATTAATGACAAAATGTTTGATGAATATAGTGAGAGGCCTATCTGCATGATTTGTGCTAATTATTATGACATTTTGTTAGAATCATGGTCACCTAATGATCACTCACACAGCACAGCTGGAATGACAGTTTCACTTCTGTTTATAAAAGGTAGCCAAGTTTTTGTTGCAAATGTTGGGGATTCCGATATTGTTATGGCAATTAAAAACGAGAAATATGGACAGCGTGGTGAGCAACCTCTAAAAGCAGTGAAAATAACAGAAAGTCACACAACAAGGAATGTGAAAGAGTTGCAACAAATTAAATCATCAGGTAGTTAATATGTATATTAATTTTGTTAAGATATGCATGTGGTGTTATAGGTGGTACTGTCCTAGCAGATAAAAGAGGAATGATGAGAGTTGTTTGCACGAAAAAGAACTGAAACAATCAAACAGAGAAAATCCCTTGCTTAAATGTTACGCGAGCACTAGGAGATTTTTGGTCGTGCTCAAACCACAAATTTTCTGTAATATCACCTATCCCCTGTCACTAGTTTTTCTTTGACGGATGATATAGAGTACTTCATTATAACCACAGATGAATTTTGGGATGTTTTTTCAGAAATTGACGTGATTGAGTTTGTGGAACAAAAGAGGAATGGAAAGGAAATTGGTCTTCTGAAAGAGGATTATGATGTTTGTGAAGGGTTAGTTTATGAAGCACTTGAAAAGAACAGTACTGACAACATATCTCTTATTCTCGTTACTGTTGATCGTATTATAGACACAGAAGTAGTTAGCAATGATAATGATTGTAGAGAAGTACCAGATATAGCTGATGTCAGGTATTGAAACTTTAATGTTAGTATCATATAAGAATCTCAATTTTATAGGAAAAGGAAATTTAATAGTAAAGAAAAAATTACACATGTCAAACATTTTAAATACTAATGAATTAATGTTCTTAATGTCTCTCTCAAAGTTCAATTTCTTTCTTATCTTCGGATTTTACAACTAATAATTTTCTTTGGTCAATGCATTTTTGATTCAAGCGAGATTTGAAGTCTTCTCTATTTCTTGCGACTGTTCCTTTGCCATATTTTATATCTATACACTCTAAAACATCATAATAATACATAAATTTAAACATTATACTAACCTTCTATTAATTGCACTTTCTCCTGAGGCAGTGGTGTTTTCTTGGATCTGGAAGTTGCATAAAAGCAACTTGATGCCATCTCCTCCTTAGTAAACACCACATCCATTAGTGCTAATGCATATTTATAGCAATCTTTACCATGGACATGTAAAAGATTAGTATTTTTCTATAAGGATCAATAATACAAGTAGGTCTATATTAATAGGAATATAGCTTACATAAGTAAATTTTCTTTCATCCTCTTCATCTGCAATATTCTTCTCCTGATTATGCATTGAATTGGCAAGTGCACTCTGAAAAATAAAAAATAATATTAAAAGCCCAAAGTTATATGCATGTTATACTTCAGACAAATCCAGCCTGATGGTGCTAGGGGAGTCAGTTTTCACCCTGCTTGAAGATTCAAACTTTGAAATATGTTTATTAGCAGCCACATGATCCTTTTGTAAATAATACGTCTTCTCTATTTTATGTGACATAGAGTCACACTTTTTCTTCAGATATTCCACATCATCCTTGAGAGCACTGAATACTTCAGAGTCTACTACAGAACACTTCTCAGGAACTGCTACGGTGTCTTTCTGTTTTATATGTGAAACATGATAAGTTACAACTATGATATCTAAACTCACGAAATGTCCTACAAATGAGCCGTCCTCAGCTAACACCGGGTTAACAAAATTGTCTTCATAATCAGAGCCTGTATTTGCAGTGTAGCCAATAGAATTTGACTGTAATAATAAAAATGAAGCAACATAACCAGGATCAGAATTTGTATATATAGCTATATACCCAACCTTTTTAGCTCTCGGCTCACAGTCAGACAATGCGGATTCAATGCTTTCTTGTCATAATAATTACAAATTTCTCGAGGTCTTTTATCATGATCATCATTTAATAGTGATTCCTTTGTTCCTGCATAATATAATTGCACATCCATTACTTGCATGAAAGTGCCTTTTGCGCTAATTGTATCACTTACCAGCCCTTCCTTTGATTTCTATCTCGTATGCCTTTCCATTGGTAGTCCATAATGCTCGATCCCCTATATTTGCATATTCAGGGTCAAAAGGCTCTCCTCCTATAGTATCAAGCTTTTTGGCATTGATAACATATTGTCGATTGTTTGAAATGCAATGTACTAATGTACTTTGAACCATTCTAATAAGAAAACACATGTATAGACATAAGGTAACAAGGTTGCTGTTATATTTACTGTTTACATCTTTCATTTTTACTGAACACATGGTCATAGTAAATTCAACATGCAAGCCCAAGTTAGTACTGTTATAATACTGTTGTACTATTTCACTCACCTTCTTCTTTGGGATCTTCTTGTTTATAGTGATAATTTTTAAGATTATTTGGGAAATTTCTTGTCCTTTTGGGTCTAGAAGATGCTGGTTTAGTTGTCTTTGCCATTATCTCTTTGAGCCTGGAGTACCGATACCCACTGCATGCAGTCTGCAGAATTAAAAGTTATAAAACTAATAACTTTTACTCTAATTACTTAACTACTATGCCACGCCCAATAAAGTCATGATAATTATATAATAATGTGAAGTGTTATTATTTTACTTTATGATCAGTATAATTATAATTTTAAAGTAATCTAAACATCATTGTAAAGAAATTATCTTGCTGCACATGCAGACTCGTGTCTTCAATTAAGGGAGCTGGGAGGATGGAGATTTCACATTTTTATTTAATAAAATGAAATAAAAAAATATTTTCTCATGCAGTTAAAAT